GAGTGGATGCGTCTGGTCAGCAGTCAGTCCTGTGACTCGGCTCAGGGGAGGAGAGGCCGTGGCCCCTGTGAGTGAGTCCTTTAGTCACAAGAAGCACTTCAGATGGTAAGGGTGCACGAGGCCACCACGGGCCACAGGGCCAGAGAGGCCTTCGCTGGAGGAGGAGCAGAGAAGGTCTTCTGTCCAAAGGAGAGAGTTTCTAGAATGAGGGAGGCGCCTCATGGAGCCAAATGTGGCAGAGCAACTGAAAGAGGGTGAGATGACTTCACCTAAAATTGGTTCGTATGCTGATGGCGCTTCAGTTTGTTATCACATGTGATGGTGCCTTCCAGAGGTGCAGGGCAGGTATAGGCTCCCATGTGGCCAGAGGCAGGAGGAGCAGGTAAGGCTGAGCACATCAGGGAAAAGCTAAGCCTTCCTCTTTGTTTCAGACAGGCTTAGCAACATGTTGGGCCAGCTTTGGATGTTGGGGCAACAACAACCTGGGCCCCAGACCAGGGCCACGCTGCCTGGAGTCAGCGTGGCCACGGGCGATGGTTCATAAACCTGGGCCCCAGACCAGGGCCACGCTGCCTGGAATAGGTTCAAGTCTTTCCTCTGCCCTGGTCCTCTGAGGCCCCAGATTGCCCTATGACTCCACTGAGGCCCTCCCTAGGCAGCCAGGGCCTGGGCCACCTCTGGGAGCCTCTAATCTAGTGTTCTGGTTCTACTAGTGGTCATGAGACCTCAGCCATTCTGACATGCAAGGCAGTGATGTAATGGGCATGTGTACCTCGCACCAATCTGAAGGCAGTCTGGATGGAAATGCTTTACACAGAGCATTTTTTAGCATGTGTGAATCTATCTGGCCATCCTCCTGATTTGGGAGTAGGAAAGCAGGCATTAAAATACAGGAGGCTATCAATTAGAATTTATTTGGTCAGTTTAGTAGAGAACTGAACAGCAGATGAGGTGCCCTGGCCCACACCTCACCCAGGGTCACAAAACCGAATGGAGGCAGATGTAGGGCTAGAAGCTGGCCACAAACTCCTAGGCTTCTTTTCCTCCAGAGGGCTCCACTCGCTGTGGGTGCCGGGAGCCTGCCTCAGCCCTGAGTCCCGGCAGAGTGGACACTGCCCTGAGCTCCTCACAATTGGATGCAGGCTTAGCACATGTGAGTGCACTGTCAATGTGCATTCTCTGGTGAGAGGAGAGAAACTGAGGCACTTGATGGAGCGTGGGTGGGTCGATTGCTCCGGGACAATTCCCTGCTTTTATCCAGTTCTATTTCTTAGGACACTGAAGAACATGACTTCCTCCAAATTCAGACTTTTTCTCCATGTTCTTAATTATGTTCAAGTCTATCAGCATTTCTTGTGGGACTTTTTTTTTTAGATCCAGTTTTTATATCTCAATTTTATGAATATGGTAGAGTGACCCTCTGATGACCCATCTTCTCAGATTTTGCTGGTGGATTTTTGGGGGCAGTGCTGAGGGAGAGGTGGCCCTGTGGAGTGGGTGTTTGCTGTTTTTACCTGTTCAGTCACAATTTCCTCCTGTTTTCCTACCAGCACTATGGGTCATCCCCTCATCTCCATCCTCAATCCATGTGGTTTGGGTGGGTGACAGCTCAGGGACAGCCTTTATCTAAGGCCCCATCGGTCAGCATACTGTTGTCCTCTGTCCACAATGGCTGAGTCAGGGAGGCCAGTCTGGGTGCAGACTGAAGTAGTGGGGGTCCATCCCAGGATTTTAACTTGGGACCACTGAGAAAGAAAAGCTCTCTTTCTGGAGGGATGGCTAAGCTGTTAGTCATCCTAAGCCTGCAGGTAACAATATCACATAGGGAGAGCCTGCCTGAGAAAGGAGACAATACGGAGGACAGCAAAGACAAGAGATACCCAAGAACAGCATGGGGGCACCTGGTTCACCAAAACCAGTTTCTTAATGGATGCACTCTTGGCATTTGGGCAGGACACTCTTCACTGTGTGGGGCCATTCTACATGTCACAAAATGTTCAACATCCCCAGTTGCCACTAGTAAAAGGTGTTTAGTTTTCCTAGTCCTCTTATCTCAGATGACAACCTGTGGCTTTGCAATTACTTGAGTCGAGATCCTCCCCATTTTACTTATTTTAATTTTTTTCTGACATTTTAAAATAAAAGTGCCCTTACTAACGACACTCTGTCATGGTTCTTTTGGGTATCTGAGTTTAGTCTTTAGCATGCTAGCCAGTCTGGATACATCAGAGAATACAGCACTAGCTCAGAGAGGAGCCGATGACCACACACGCGCCCGGCAACATGGACACATGAAAAGTGGCCTGATTCTGGTCATGTAAAACAGCCCCGGGCCAGCTTTGGATGTTGGGGCAACAACAACTCAACCTGAATTAGGTCGACTGACAGGACCGACTCACAGGATCGAGGTGAGCTCCCTTGTGGGCTGCGGAATGTGGCCACCTTTGAGAAGTTAAAAGAACCATCAAATGGAAGTATAACAGCAAGAGGAAATGAGAAGATGGCTCCATTAACATGGTCAAATCAGTAGGATCTTGACAAGATCCAGAGAGATGGCGACTGGGTCTGTGAGGTTAATCCAGGGTGGGAGCTGGCTCGGGGAGGAAGGGAGGGACTAGGGGCCTCAGTGCTTTCTCTGAGTAGCGCAGGCTTTAGGAGGGACTCTGAGCTCTGCCTCTACACATAAGGTCTGAGCAAGAGGAGAGACCTTTGTCTCAGTGTCAGAAGGGACCCTGAGATGCTCTATCATTCCCTCTAGAATGGCCCAGGTATATTCCCTTGGGTACAACTCAGAGCAGGTCACTCCTGGTTAATGTCTATCAAAAGCTCCTGTGCCTGTGGATGCAGCAGAGACCCCCTCGGCATTACCTGTGTGAACCACGGCTCTACCACGTACTCACGTGGTCTTCCACCAGGCATCAGGCGTGGTGCTGCCTCTGTTTCACCACCTATGAAACAGTGTAATAGCACTGCCCACCTCACAGGGTTGTTAGTGCGGACAGCAGAGTAAGTGCTGGCTGTCATCATCATTTTAGGGCTTCTGCTGCATTCAAGAAAATGCCAAGGTTTGGAAGTGAGAAGTCCTGGTTCCACCACTCATTTAATTCAGAGAAACTAAGCTAATTTTACCAAGTCTCTATCACTTCATTTGTAAAATGGGAATGACAAGGACCAACCCTAGAGGGGGATGTTTAAGGATAAAGTGAGATAATGTTTGTGAAGACACTTTATAAACAAAAGATTTTGGATAGTATTTCAGTCTCTCCATTTGGAAAGCCCCCAGGCCTTCACCCCCACCCGCAAGGCACACTTTAGGAAGAGACTGATAGAGAGGCCTCCAGGGGGCTCTTGGCTCCCTTTCCCATGAATCTGGTTCTCCAAGGTTAGCTTATCCCGTTAATGGCCATTTGTGTGTTGTCCTCACAGCTCTGCTGGGAGCTGGCTGTTCTCACCGCTCATTGCTCATCCTGTAGCACCCAGCGTGGCTATTTGTGGGGAAGTTTAAATGAAGGGCAGGCCCATGGAGCTTCTTCCCTGGCAAAGAAGACCTGGTGATCCCTCATTGCAAATATGCCAACTGTCAGTGTCGGTAAGAGACAGAGATGCAACTCCTGCTTACAAAATCCACAGGGACTGAGGCCTCAACCAGAGCCCCAGTGCCCTGGTGGATGAGAAATGCAGGCCGAGCGGTTAGTAGCACCAATTGTCATGCTCTTCTCCCTGTGGGCATTAAGCCAGCAAAGGGAAGTTGGTCCTGTTTATTTAGTTAACATGGATTCAGAACATGGGGAGTCTGTTTTGGGATTTGAATGTAAATGGCGCCAAGCCCTGAGGGGTTGCCATGTCCATCTCTAGAGTTAGGCTATCCCCACCGGTCAGACTTGCTGCACTGGCCTGCCAGGCATTCTTTCCTGACAGACTGTGAAGGATACTACTTACATGTCCTCTGCCCTGCTCTCCCTACTCTCTCGTGCTTGACATATTATTTCCGTAGAGGGCATAGTTTTAGTCCGCAGCTTTTGGAGATGGAGAAGTAGACTTGAATTTGAGTTCCATGAGCTATGTGATCTGGAGCAATTAATTTAATCTCTTCTAATCTTGATTGCTCATGTAGCAAATGAGGATAAGAGTATCTTTCACCAGCTTTATTGGGATAGATAGGTGAGCATGTATATGCTTCCTCACTCACTATCCTCCCCACCCATAACCCGGGATATGTTATCTCATCTTGTACAAGTTCGTTTAATTTTTACAGAAGAGTAAAATTTTCTTTGCTAAGCTTCTTTCCAGCTCGAGTATATATATGACAGTCAAAGAATACAGTCATGCGTGTTGGCTAAGAAGGTAGTGAAAGCTTATTTCAGGATTCACCTGTCAAGTGTTAGGCTGCCAGGGCAGCCCTCTGCCAGGTGTTAGCCTGTCTGGATGACTTGGGATAGGCCCAACCTTTTGGAGGTTGGCAGTCTCTGAAAGTCCCTCCTGTTGGTAGATTTGAGGCACCCTCCATCCTGTGCTCCAGAGAATTGCTCAGGCACCCCAAGGGCCTGACAGACAAGGGCAGGGCCATGAGTGTGCTGGTCTGGGAAGTCAATACCAGGCACTCCTTATTGCCAGGAACTTGAATGACTACTAACATGAAAAGCTTTCTCACATGAAAGGTGAGTCACCTGCAGAATGTCAACTAAGCAAGACTTCTAGGCAAATGAGCCCCTGGAGGGAGCTAGGGGTCTTCTGTGCCTGGTCGGCTTGTGGCTTGATTCCTACTGCCCAGCCAGTGGAACTTTGGTAGGCTGTCTGACATCCCCAGTCTTCTTGGCAGCCCACACCATGACCCAGACCCCGTGTCCCCCACAAGAAAGCACTCTGAGGTGGCAGGCGGCTGGCCAGCAGGGACATGGGGTGGCACCTGTCCAGTTCTGCTCCTACCAAGCTGGGTGCTTCCACTCAGGCCCTCTCAGCCCCCGCCCCACCCTCACTGCTCCCACCGCCCAGACACGAGATCTCTCCATGTTCATTTTTATTTAAAGACTTGGAAACACAGGCATCGGTTTGTCATCACTGTCAATTCTTCCAAAATCACATACTGACATTTGTGTATAACAAAAACATTGGTTTGTGTGTATGCATGTGTGTGTGCATGTGTGTGTGAACTGTGCAAAGTACAAGGAAATTCCCAGCCAGACCGCTGAGTTTATTTGGGGCACTGGAGTCAGGGAAGCTCTTGCCTGGCTCTGTCTCCCCACTTCCCTCCCATGGTCTTCTGTGGCTCAGATGTCCCCATTACCTCAGTGTCCACTGACCTCACTCAGTGGTAGTTAGGGACTCTACTGTGCTCCTCAAAGCAAGTCATCTTGCCTGCCAAATGTCGTTGCACACCCAAGATGTGTAAGTCCCTGGGCCAGGATGGAATGTGAGGGTTTCAGATCAGGTGTTGTTTCACCTCAGTAACCAAAATGAATGTGTCCTTTGAGGCGAGGTGGCCCAAAGGAAGGGTCTAATTCTGCTCCTGCTCTTGTCTGCGGGTTAAATGGTGGTGAAGGCTGATGGGTCAGACTGAATGTGTTTGAAAACAGGCAGCCCAAAGCATGGCCCGTCGTGCACCTCCCTGCCCTCCAGGTACCCGGCTTTTGCTCCTGAGAGGATGCCTGCTGGCGGGGCCTCTGGCATCGCTTTCCCTCCCAAGGCAGTACCAATAGCTGCCCCTGACTCTGCTAAGACAGGGGCCAGCTGACGCCTTGCAGAAACACTGTATGCTTGTCTCTGCTCTGCTGTGAGGGGTGCTGGGCCCTGGAGGGCTGCCACTTCACTCACAGTCACTGGGCTGTTCAGCAATTCCTACCTACCATGAGCATCACAGTGGTGGTGGCCTGGACAGGAAAGAAAGTCCAAGTTAGTCTATTCTGTAACTTGGTAACTGCCTTTGTTTTTAAAAAAAGTTTCCTTATTATCTGGGGATTTGAGTTAGTTCTGGTTTCAGTGAGAACACATGTCTCACTCAATGTGTTAATCCATGCACGTTTTTGGTAATATGATTTTAAACACACACACGTTTCTGTGCATGGAAGGCAACTGATGGCAAATGGATACCCTCTGGCTGGCTGTCATTACCTCCTTGCACAGGGTTCTCTGTGTTTAAACTCTATTTTTTTTTCCTTTGAGTCAAAAAAATTTCTCAAGTCTATTAAATCTATTATCATCTGGAATGAGGAAATGAGCCTTTCTCTAGGCATGATCCCACCAGCGCGGTAGCCACCTGGCAGTAACAAGTAGCCAAGTCACATCCCAAAATAGGAACTCTGAAAATAAGTGTTTGTATTTCAAGGGCATCACGCCAGGAGAAGGAATGGGTTTCTGGATTTCGTTTCATCCCTCAAAATCAGGGAGATCTTATGTTACCGAAGGCTAATTTATTTAGCCTAATTTAAACCTGAGTGGTTTTGTAAAAATATATAGAAAGAGGGTTTACAAATTGTTACTTTGAACAGATGCGAATCCCTTGAGAACAAGACTGCCTCGTGACAGGGCTTCTGCAGGCAGTGTCTGTGGAAGTGAGCTGTTGGACTCATGAGCCGATTCCAGGACCTCACCTGGGGGAAGGTCCCAAGATCAGAGCTGCCCCTTCTTCCTTCCTCTCTCTGTCCCAGATCCCTGGACCCTCCGAGTCTGCAGAGAGGGCTCACTCCCATCGCCCTCATTGTGCTTCGAGGCTCTAGATCAAGGTTTACACTGTCTGATGGGGCACAGTTATTTATTTCTTTTTTTAAAAAGGCAAAACCTTCACAAGGTTTTGTAAACTGTGAAGGTTTACAACTGAAGTGTGGTAAGAACTGCACATTGCAATAGTGAGAAATTATATTTCGATTAAGCTAAATATGACTGTAGTTATTCTCTCTAAAGCAGTAAAAGGGGAATTCCTCACCTTTTAAGGCTGGAGTCCACCTTCTTGTCCTTTTCATCGCCACAAAAAAAGGCAACTATACTGACCTTTCCTCAAAATGTTTCCGGTTTTTGAATAATAATTATCACTGCCTAGACAAAGCTTGGGGCTTCGGTAAGGGTTTTAAGAAATTGGCTTTTCCCAATCTCCCTTCAACCCCCTAAATATGGATTCCCCCTTATCCTGTGGAGCAGCAGCCAACATTGTGATGTTGAGGACGAGGGCTTTCCAGAGTTCTCCTAAATTCACAAGGTAAATATAAAAATTTTGCCCATTTGATGTCTCCTCGGATATTTTTTCTTTCAAGCTCAACCAAGTCATTACAAAAGGCAGCACCAGATGTATGAAAAATAGGCAATGCATGACCTATTAGAAATATATAAAGTCTAACAGCTTTCCATTAAAAAGATGTAAGAAGGAAGCGATGCAGAGGGACAGTGGTGGCAAACAAAAAGTGTTGCTCGTAATACTGGCAGGAGACAAAGCCAAGCGGGAGCTGCCCGAGTCCCAACAGGTGCCTGCGCCCCAGTGAAGTCCCCTGGGCCAGGAACATCCTTGCTGAGTGGCCAGGTGGCAGGTGACTGAGGTATATAGAGGTGATGGAGCAATTCGGACCCCTATGTGCAGCCCAGACAGCCCGCAAAGATATTCTGCAAATGCTCTGGGCCCTGCACCCGCCCACCCAGTCCCCGCAGCCCTTCTGCAAATCCCAGCCTCGCACAGGTGGCAGACACGAATGCTGCAGCTCGGCAGCAAGTCACAGCAGCAAATCGACCCGCATCAGCACCTTCCTCTCTTTTCAAAGATATTTCTTTACAGTTCACAAAGGGGGAATAGGCATCTCGTTGGAGAACAACCCCAGAGTGTGACTTGTGGGTGAAGGCATGACCGCTATACCCCGGGGCCCCCACCCCAGGTTGTGGTGTCTCCTACCAGGGGCTCTGGAAGGGACCTGAGACCCTCGGGTGTCATGGCTCTTTCCTTGCACCTTGGGGCTTCCCAGGAGGCCTTCCTCCCTGGTGTGCTGGGGGTGGAGAGCGCGTCCTCAGAAGTTCTCGACGAAGCTGCCCGGGAAGAGGCCCGTGCGGCCGTTCCTCTGCAGGGTCCCCTTGTACCAGCCGTCCTCACGCTTCTTGTGCACAAAGACAATGTCACCTTCCTTCAGCTCGATTTCCGCCTCACTCTGGGGTGGGTAAGAGACCACCACACGATACCTGGTGGGGAAACAGACACCACAGTGGGTGAGCCAGACCCAGGCAGACTGGAGGATGGCCCAGGGTCTGCTGGCAAGATCTTGCTTTTCTTTTCTTTTTTCCCTCTGGTGTAAATTGTTGTAATTTGGGGCTACTTTTCCCACTTTAAAAAAAATTTCTACTTATCTTGAATTTTACTTTTTCCAAAACTTTAAAAATTTTTCATAAAAATTTTTATTAAAAATCTAAAATAATGTTTCCGTGTGGCATCTTTTAGATTCCGATCTATGCAGCCGGAATGTTTCTGCCAGAGATGCTGCCCCTCCACGTCACCTCCTCCCTTTAGCCTGTCTCAGACTGTGGCCTCCCCAGGGATGGAACGGAGGGGGGCGGTGGCGGCCGCTTTAGCCCTGGGGCACGTGTTTGGTAAGGGCAGTGACCTCGGTTCTGTCCCATCCTGGCACAGGTGAGGCTAGCGTGCTCACCTCCCGAGTGTCAGTTTCTCCGTCTAAAGAGCAGGTGGGCAGAGGACAACTTTTAAGCTGTTGCCTCACATGCATTGTGTTGGTAAAATGGTCATTCAAAAATCATAAGATGTTATGGCCTCAGCACCTAAACTGGCTGAGGCCACACCATAAACGAGGCCTAATTTTTCACACATCTCATTCTTGTAAAACCTGGGCTCTTCCCTGAGGCCTCAGAGGCCTCTGTCCAGTTCCTGTTTTCAGACCAACATGACATATAGTCCAAGTGGCAACTGTGACCTGCCAGCACCTAGAGCGGGAGCGATGGGTCTGAGCTTGGACCAGATCAAGCACAGACAATTCCCCTTCCCCATGCCCCGAGAACCCCCTTACAGCTCCCTGGATCTGAGACAAGGGTCTGACCTTCTCCGGCATCTGGCCAAGAGCTCTAGGGTCAGCACAGGGCAGGCCTGACACACGCCCCCCCACCCCATACCTGTTTGTTATGCCTCAGAGAAGGAGGGCTAAGACTAAAAAGAGCTGTACTCTGAGGACCAGCCTTCTTCTGAAACACCACCAAGAGCAAACCAGTGCGTGCCCTCGTGGCCCGTATCCCTCACAGCCCCCAGCCTGACAGGAATTGCCTCGTCCCCACCACTCCAGCCAACCGTGCCTTCCCCAGCCCCTCAGGGAACTCACGGGCACGTGCGCTCTGACACCTGACTGGGCCCTGCGCCCTCAACCAGCACAGCTGGTGACGATTGTGCAGGAAGTGCTGAGAGGAGTCCGCCCACCCTACAGAGCACAGGAGTTGGGGGCTCCAGGACAAAGACAGTACTAAGTGTGGACAGGTTTGGTGGTGAGCAGGGTGTGGCTGAAAGTTGCTACAGATACATTAGGCTGAGGAGGGCTGGGTGGGGTTGGCCTGGCCAGGCCAAGGTACTCAATAATCGTTCCCTGGCTGACCAGGCAATGTCCTGAGGGCCAAGTCCGGGCTGCCTGGGAGAGCATGCATTCAGTCCCTCTAGGCCACATTCTCCCAGCGACCTCGACATGGGTGTCCCCATGGGTACCTCCCAGGTTACTGCACTTGCCCCAAGTAAGCATTTCTGAAAATGTGAACCATAGACTTCAGGATCCTGGCTCAGATTCCTGGGCTCCATCCTGGACCTACCTGCTGAGATGCTAGAGGAAAAGGACCAGGAATTGTGGGTTTTCAGTAAATTCTCGGGTGCATGTTTACACACTGATTCTGAGAAAATGCTGAATAAAAACACTGAGGAGACTTTATTTTTCCTCAGCCCCACCTGCTCATGGGACCTGGGGCACTGGCCTGTCTGGGTTGGAACAGAGAAGCTGTGGTTTGGGGCAGGTAGAGTTGGTGCTGGGGCTCGAGGATGATGCACAGGTAGAGAAGACCCAAGCCCAGGCTTGGAGAGCTTACAGCCTCTGGGGCACACAGCCCCATCTTGTTCCGGGCAGGTGAGAGGTGGGGGTGTAGAGAGAAAGGTGGCTCTTGGGGCTAACTTGGCAGGCATGCAGAGTTCCTCCTGCTGAGGGAGCAGGGCCAGCTGGGCACTCTAAGTGCCTTGGAATGGCTGCAGGTGTAGGACAATTGGGCCAGTTTCCACTGCTGTCCCTGGGAGCCAGACGCTGGCTTTGAGTGTGGGGATGGAGAGGAAGGAGAGTGTAGGTCCTGCCCTCCTCCCGGCCCAGTGGACACAAACAGCTGCCTGTAAGGCCACTCCCTGCAGGAGGACAGATGGCTGCAGGGAGGCCTCCAGGATGTAGCAATGGCCTGTGAGATCAGCCAGCACCGCACACAGACTGCACCGTTCCCAGGCCTTCGGCACTCAGGCTGCATGTGCGACTACCAAGACCAGCCCCAGGCCTCCCTGTGGCCTTCTGCCATATGCTTCACCTCCTTTCCAAACACTGGCCTCCTTCTCTCAATTCCCCAAGGAGAAGAAAAAAAAGCAAAAGAGTGAGATGATTTCTCAGACTCTGAACATGAGTTTTGGTTTTTGCCTCAAATGCCAGATGTGAAACAAATAAGCAAATTTAAAAATGTAATTTGTTAGGGAAGAAAAAGTAATTTGGTGCTTCTGAGCAATTAAATGATTTAATGAGCCCAGATGAATGATGTGGGCTGAATACATATGAGACAAGCATTTAGCCCAAGACTGAGCTATTTTTTCACTGCATAAAAGTAACTGACGCTTCCTGTTATAGACACAAAAGGCCAAAGGAACAGTTGAGGATGGCAGCTTCTCTTGTGTCACAATCATGGTGTCGTAAATCAATGAGAGATTGTCCTGTGCTGAGTTAAGGTTATGTCAACAACAGCTAATTTTCAGACATAAGACTCAGGGAATCAAAAGGCTCAAAATCAGAATGAATTCTTACCACTGCATATTGCAATAAGCCTTATGTGTGAGGTTTGGAGTATCCTCCTCCCGTGTCATCTACTCCCCTCCCTGACAACAGCAGTAAGAAGGGGACCCTCCATGTGGTGGGCTTTTCAGAGAACTTGCTTCAGCACTGTTGAGGACGAGTGGTCTTCGAGTTGGTGGGATGTGGTTATCACAGAGCAGTGTCCTGCTAGAAATGATAAGAATATGTCTATACCCTGGACACTACACTCTAATATCAACACATGTATTAGTTGCCCATTGCCACTATAACAAATTTCAGCAAACGTAGTGGCATAATAAAACACAAATTTCTTATTTTATAATTCTTTAGGTTAGACATCCAGCATAGTCTCACAGGGCTAAATTCAAGGTCCGCACTCCTTCTGGAGGCTCCAGGGGAGACCGTGTCCCCTTGCCTTTTCCAGCTCCTAGAAGCTGACCGAATTCCTGGGCTGGAGGCCTCTTCCTCTGTTTTAAAGGACAGTACGGGAGGGTTCAGTCCTCCTATCATATCACTCTGCCTACTCATTTGCCCTCCTCTTCCACTTGTAAGGACTTATTATGGTCATATTGGGTTTGAGCGGATAATCTGGGATAATCTATTTTAGTCAGCTGGTTAGCAAATTTTTACTTTATCTGCAACTTTACCCTTGGTTATGTAAGGCAACATAGTCACAGTTTGGGGGAATTAGGGCATAAACATCTTTGGGAGATATTAGTCTGTCTACCACGACACATAATAGATCAAAGCAAAATCTTTTAAATCCTAACAAAGCCAAAGAACTTACATGACAGCAAGAAGTGAGGATGACTAGATGCATGTGTGAACATATGGGAAAAAGACCGTGGCAATCAAAAGTGGGGAGGGTGTCCAGATGCCACTGGAAGGATCTTTATCACATATGTCATATGATATAACGGTATTATCAATGTAATTTCATATATTATTATTGTTCTTGTTGTTTACGTACTCATAATTTTCAGGTATTAAACTAAGCAGGTATTATTATATATGGGAGAACTGGGACTCAAAAACAAAAACTCTTATTTGGAGTGAAATGCTGATATGCGGCAACAGTGCCTATTGCTCAAAGTCACTCTGAAATATTGCCAGGGTACAAGAGAGCCAGGAGGCAAGCATCCAGAGGATGAGGGTGGTGGGGCGGCTGCCCGAGAACTCACCCAGACCTGTCCAGAATCAGCATCTCCTTTCTGGGGAGACAAGGCAATAGACTGACAAATAACTACACCCCTATTATAAGTTCCGCAGGCAACTTCCAGATATGTGGCTCCCTGTGCACACTGTCCACAGGGCACGAGTATGTCCAGATAGCCCGAAGGTTAGGTACCCTAGGAAGGGTTAGGAATTGGCCCTCTGGTTAACACATCAGGCCCCTGGGCTTAGCTCCTATAGGTCTCCTGCGAGTTTCGTCTGCCTCCAGCTAGCTGACTGCAGGCCGAGCGGACCCTGGCCTGGGGGAGGTTTCCATGGTTTGTGTCCCTGGGTGGCCCTACTCTACAGTGCCCTTCAAACTAAACTTCTGTCCTCTGAGAGCAGTCAGGAGAGCAGCTCCTGTTCTCTTCCCAAATCCTCAGAAGAGAGATGGTTAGGCCTGAAGGAATTAGTACAGAGGAAACACCCAGCCGCACCCGGAGCCCGGCGGGCGCCAGGTGATAGAGAGCACCGTGTCCTCAGCCCATTAGTGGTGGCAACCTTGAGTCTGAGCTCTGGCCTACCTTTCCCCCATTTCCCACCTTCGTAATCATAGAGCGGCCTTGCGCGCAACAGGCACCCTACAGATATTTGGCATGTGAGTGAATGCACAGGACCTCTATGGCAGGGATTCTTGTCACAGCTACTCCCTTCCAGCTGCAAGTAAGTTTTATTCACAAGCCTGCAGGGCCTGAGTCCAAGTGCTTTCTGGGGCTGCCTCAGCCTGAAGAGCAAGCAACTCCATTTTCACACCCTCAGCTCCTGCGGGGGCTCCTCCTCAGGACGAGCAGCCTCTGGGCTCTCAGAGAGAGAGGAGGGACAACATTCCAGGGCTCCTCAGGCAACAGTTCTGGTTCAGGCTGCACTTTGAAAGCTCTTGTCACTGATGAGCTGTGCCGAGTGCTGGGAATAAGCAGGAGGTCAAGAGTCTCTGGGCACAATAACCCTGATCAATCAGAACACTCAGAGAATGGGAAGAATTCCTTGAACTTTTTAGTTAATCACAGACTTCCATGATTTTTTAGAACAAGGTTTTAAGACCTCTTTTGAGGAGTCTGGAGTTTGAGGCATCTGGAGAAGAACAGAAACCTGGGGGAAACATGAGAGCAGCTTTGAAATATCTAGAAGTCTGTCATTCTCAGGAGCCACCAGCTTTGTGATCCAGGGAGGAGGGACCAGGACCCACATTCAGAAATCACATGCAGCCAGGGGTCGGTCCTGCAGAAGGAAGAAGGTTCTGACATGGAAGAGCTGCCTGAAGTTAGCGGAGGTTCCTTTGGGAAGAGAAGTGTTGGGGGCTGGGGTGAGGGGGCAATCTGGTATGTGTGGTGTGTGTGTTTGTGTCTGGTGTGTGCTGTGCATGTGCCTGTGTGTGTGTGGTGTGCATTTGTGTGGTGTATACATTTGCGTGGTTTATAATTGTGGCATGTTTGTGTAGTATGTGTGTTTATGTGGTATGTGGTATTTTTGTGGTGTGTGTGTGTTGATGTAGGGTTTGTGTGTGTTTGTGTGGTATGTGGTGTTTGTATTTGTGATATGTGTTTGTGTAGTATGTGTTTGTGTGTTGTCTGTGTAATGTGTGGTTTCTGTGGCACATGTTTGTGCTGTGTATTGTGTGTTTGTGTGCTGTTTGTGTGACGTGTGGTGTGTGAATCCAGTCTTCTAAGGGGCCTGGGGACTTGCTGTAGGGAAGGCACTTCACTGGAATAGGTCCCACTGTGAGTGAGTCAGGATTGCAGGTGTACCTGGGACAGACAATGGGATGGTGCTCAATTGTACAGGACCCAGAACCAGATGCTGATACCCTGTGATATGCTCCGTACTGTTTACAAGCTGAAGATACCTTCCAATCGCCCTGTGGGCCAGGTGAGTACACTGGATGGCCACTGACCGTGCACTACACGAAGCAGTGTGGTTCAGAGCAAGGCTCTGTGGTTGGAAAGCCCTCAGGTCAATCCTTGGCTTTGCTGCTAATTAGCTGTGTGATGTTGAGCAAGTTAATTAACCTTTTACTAAACCTCAGTTTTCTCATCTCTAAAATGGGGATACTTAATTCATGGGCTTCTTGGGAGGATTAATCGAGATGCTGGCAGATGCTAAACTGTATGCACAGTATAGCTGCCCTGGATGTTTATGGCTGGAATTGTTCAGTGTTCTGAATAGAACACTGAATAAATCCTAGCTGTTACTCTAAAAGCAGGTGTAAAGACAGACTTACACTTTAATTATTTATCAGAAGTCAATAACTGCTGGCCCACCACTGCCTGACGAGATTTGTCCCCATTGGCCCAGGACTCAGTGCTACCCCATTAACTCATCTCTAAAGCCCATCATTCAGACCAAGGGTTGGCAAACCCCTGAGGAGCAAGGGGTCCAGCCCCATACCAGATGCCCCAGCACAAGATTCTAGTGCCATGAAGAGAAATCTCATAACTTCTGGCTGTGAAAATCAGCAGAGATTGTGGCTGAATGAGACAGAGGGCTGCAGAAGTCCAAGATGTTCCTCTTAAAGAACTCACGCATGAACTTACTTATTGACAGGCTCATTCGCTTTGAGCTCCAGCACTGAGGCATTAGCTCAAAAGGTGCCAGAAACATACAGAGAGGAACTGAATTATCTGGCTTCAGGGTGAGGGCTGGAGAGGCAGTCTTCTTCCAAACAGAAGGGCTGGCAGAAGCCATTGTTTCTTTGTTAAGCCCTCCTCGACCCAGCCTGCATGCCCAGGTGGGCACCATATCTGAGTCTCCATCAACCCGGCTAACACCATTAGCTCCACCCTGGTGCTTTTCTGAGATCCCACCCCACCCAACTTGCAAGCTCATCCAAGCCAATTCCAGTGGCTCTTTCATAAAGTGACCTGTCTTAGCTGATGCTGCAGACTTTCTTAAAATCTCTCAAAGGATCACAAACCCCAAGCAAGCAGCATCTGGTGTAAGCATGCCCCGTATCTCTTGCTAAGCAGCCCTAAGGCTGGCACTAGAGGCAGCTGGACTCAGTTAGTAGCTAATCTCTTCCAGGCACCTCCAAGCCCAACACAAGTGGCAACCATCTACGTATTACTTGGTAGCTCATACCAAGTGGCCCTGGGCAAAGTGCAGGCAGCGGCTGACCTTGGCCTACACCAGAGTCCCTCTCAAGAGGCCCTAAGACCATCATACCACAATAGAGCACCACTCAATCACCTTCACAAATGACACACCCAAAGAGCAGACTCAGCAGGCACTAGAGACCAGCTAAAGTGAATTCTGCTCTATAGCGTCAACCCCTGCACAACAATCCATCAGCCTGAGGAGCAATCCTACTGATGTGCCAATAGCAATCAAAGCTCAACTACAACAGGAGAGCACACACAATCCACACAAGCGACACCTGGAGTACCCAGCTCAGGTGACCAGGGAGACTGCGCCATTGGGCCCCACAAGACACCTGCTATGTACGGCCACTCTACCAAGACTGGGAGACATAGCAGTCCTACCTAATACATAGAAACAAACACAGGGAGGCAGCCAAAATGGGGAAGCAAAGAAACAGGTCTCAAATGAAAGAACAGAACAAAGTTCCAGGAAAAGAACTAAACAAAATGGAAGCGATCAATTTACCAGATGCAGAGTTCAAAATACTGGTTATAAGGATGCTCAGTGATCTCAGTGAGAACTTCAACAAAGAGATAGTAAACATAAAAAATAGACATTGAAATAGAAAAAGAACCAGTCAGAAATGAAGACTACAGTAACTGAAACGAAGTATGTGTTAGAGGGAATCAATAGTAGATTAGATGAAGCAGAGGATCGAATCAATGATTTGGACGAGAAGGTAACAGAAAACACACAATCAGAACAGTGAAAAGAATAAAGAATCCCCCCCGCCAAATGAGAATATTTAAAGGGGTCTCTGGGACAACATCAAGCATATTAACATAAGGGTACCAGAACGTCAAGAGAGACAGCAAGGAATTGAAAACCTATATGGAAAAATAATGATGGAAAATTTCCCTAACCTGGTGGAAGGAAATGGACATAAAAGCCCAGGAAGCCCAGAGAGTCTCAAACAAAATAAATTCAAGAGGCCCAAAACAAGACACATCATAATTAAAATGCTAAATTTTAAAGACAAAGAGAGAATCTTAAAATCGGCAAAAGAAAAGCACTTAGTTACTTGCAAGGGAGCTCCTATAAGATTGTCAGCTGATTTCTCAACAGAAGCTATGCAGGCCAGAAGGGGCTGGCACAAAATATTCAAAGTGATGAAAAGCAAGGACCTACCACTAAGATTACTTTACCCAGCAAAACTATCATTTATAATAGAAGGACATATAAAGGGCTTCCCAGACAAGAAAAAGGTAAGGGAGTCCATCGCCACTAAACCAGTATTACAAGAAATGTTAAAGGAACTTCTTTAAGAAGAAGAAAACAAAAAAGATAAAAATGTGAATGATAAAATGGCAATAGCTACATATCTGTCAACAATTAGTTTAAATGTAAATGGATTAAGTGCTCTGATCAAAAGACATATGGTGGGTGAATGTATAAGAAAACAAGACCCTTACATATGTTGCCTATAAGAGACTCTCTTCAGGTCAAAAGATACATACAGACTGAATGTAAAGAGATAGAAAAAGTTATTTCATGAAAACGAAAATAAAAAAAAGCTGGGGTAGCAATACTTATACCAGACAAAATAGACTTTAAAGCAAAGGCTCTATAACAAGAGGCAGAGAAGGACTCAGTAATTCTAATTCAGGGTATTTATCCAAAGAAACCCAGAACACAAATTCAAAAAGACATATGCATCTTTATGTTCATTGCAGCATTATTTACAATAGCCAAGATAAGAAAGTGACCTAGGTGTCCATTGATGGATAAATGGATAAAGAAATTTTGGTATATATATATACACAATGGAATATTACTCAACCATAAAAAGAATTATATATACACACACACACATATATATACACATACACAAGATGGAATATTACTCAGCCATAAAAATAGAATGAAATCTTGCCATCTGTGACAACATGGATGGACCTAGAGAGTATCATGCTAAGTGAAATAAGTCAGCCAGAGAAAGACAAAGACCATAAGATTTCACTTATATGTGGAATCTAACCAAACAAACAGACAAACAAAACAGGAACAAACTTATATATACAGAGAACATTTCGTATGGTTGCCATATGGGAGGGGTGTTGGTGGGATGGGCGAGGGGAGGGAGTAAGAAGTACAAATTGGTAATAACAAAATAGTTGCAGGATATAAAGTACAGCTTAGGGAGTATAGCCAATAATATTGTAATAACTATGTATAGTGTCAGATGGGCACTAGATTTACTGAGATGATTACATTGTCAGTTACATAAATGTCTAATTACTATGTGTACACCGGAAACTAATATAATATTGTATATATCAATTGTAATTAAGAAGTACAAAATAATTTTTAAAAAAAAGAACGAAAGAGGAGCTGCTTCCTGGGCAGGCCCACAGGCCCACAGGCCCACAGGCCCACAGGAACTCAGTCCACAGGCCTGCTCCGGGGTTTCTCCAGGGTTGAAGGGACAGTGCACTCACCGTCTCCCTTTGGCCCAGTATCCCATCAGTTTTGACAAATTTCCTCATGAAGCTCTTGTAAATCCCAAACTCAGGGACCAGATGGATTCAGAACATGAAATATGCTCCCATTTGTTCCCAAACTTGTTTTACCCAATGCTCATGATCCAAGCTCAGGAGCTGAGTAGACGTGGCTAGTGAGGGAGGTCTGGTCAATTTAATCCTCAGAAAACCCTCATTGTCCCTGCTTCCATCCCAAAGGTGGCTCCAGACCCCAGAGACCAACCCACACCAAGGGCCTAGAGAATACAAGTCCACCCTCTGCCCTTACCTCTCTCTGGGCAACGGCTTGGGCTCGGGGCGAAAGGCAGCCATGGAGGGAGGGGCTTGCTTGGAGGGGGATGAGGAGAAGTTCAGATCCAAGGAGCCCGCCTTTCTGTGCAGTGGCTCCATCCCCATCGCCCCTTGCATCTCACTCTCTATGGGGCAGGACCCTGCCCGGCCATGGATGGACAGTGAGGACACTTCGGGCCCCACTGCACCCTGGAGTGAGGTGTCCACTGCCACCGGGGGGTCGTGGGTGGGAGAGATGGATGGTGGGGAGCGAGACTTCTTCTTGGTGGATGCCCCGGCTAGAAGTTTCAGCAGACCTGTCTTCTTCTCTTTCTGGAGAGAAACACAAAATTGAAATCCAGTGCGTTAATGCTTCTAAATGCCTTTGTTGTTAGCGAGAGGGGGCGGAGTATAATCCTTTTGGAAACTTTAAACAATTTTGTAAAGCTGGTTAGTGGACAAAAGCAAAGCTAAGATTGAAAGCTTTTCCAACCCTTTTGTTTTCCTTCTTTTCCCCAAATCTGGCACAAACGCCCAGACAGACCCAGGAGGCCCTAGGCGTTGGCCAGAAGGTGCTATTCCCAGGAGAGGATGCTGCAGGGGCTGTTCCTGACAACATGCCCACTGGCCATCACAGGGTCATGTTCCCAGCTTTGCAACCTCATTTGTTGTGACAGAGGAACCAGCAGTCTATATAATTTGGTTTCTCCTCACCCAGTTTTTCTAAGTGGACTTCAGAGCACAGGGCAACCGTCTGTTCACTTTGCCCAACTCAGTAATGTTTCGAAATCCTTGAGAAAGACTTGCTTGGGCACACTTAAGAGAGCCTCAGAAATTTGGCCAGTAGGGGGCGTCGTGCAGCTGGCTTAGAAGTTGCCTCAGAACGTCCCTGTCCCCAAGAAGCCAGTGCTGCTGAGACTGCCACTAATGAAAATGCCGGCAGCTCAGTGAGTGTCTGGCTTCTCATGACAACTGTCTCCTAACCTGAGACCTTAAAGGGCAGTGCATTGGAGTTGGGAGGACACAGCATGGGTGCGAGGGGTAGCACCTGATGGTCCATGACCCTCTTGGCCCAGCTGACAGAGCCTCTAACCCTCAAGTCCTGGCCTTCACCACCTTCCTGGCTTCCTGCCAGCATGCTGCCCCATCCAGCTTTTTTCTGCCCACGTCTTATTCTCCCCACGGAAGGCCTAATTCACTTTTCGTCCTTCCCCCGCAGGCTCCCCTCTAGAATATGTGTTGGGGGCAGGAGCTGGGTTGTTTATCGCAGTATCCCCAGTGCCCAGAATGCTGCCTAGGATACAGCAGGCGCTAAATAATTGCTGGAAGAAGTGAGCTCAGCCAGAGTGCGAGCTCATGACTCTTTCAAGGATGTCCTTTTGCCTCATGAGCAGAGAACAGATTCGATCAACAAGCGCTTGTTTATGAGCCACTTCCGCGGGACAGAAAGCCCTGGCATCACAGCCGTGCCTCAGTGGGGTGTGCAGTGAGTTGAGAGAAGAGGGAGCCACTGGGCCACTTAGCATGTTTGCAGGGAAGTCCAGCCTTGGCTGTATGTTCGGAAAGGGCTAGGTAATTGAGATGGATAATTTTCTTGTCTCGGTTCTCCATGATTAAATATGACTGATCATATTCTTAATTTGATTTTGGCAAACAATGTTATCATGGCTGGAAAACTGTCCATGAAAATATTCTGCTAATGCCTTAAGCATCTGGTTATTACAAATTGCTGTGGAATTCAGTGTCCTAGCAATCACAGTGCTCACAGGATTCATGGCGGATGGATGTAGACAGTTCAGGCACTTGCCTGGTGGTCGTCTTGTTCTGTGTGATGCAAGTAAGAATCAGCTAAAAGGCCCTTTGAGGGCAGCTGAAAAAGACTCACTGGTCAATTTTAGGGGCCACATCATGGGAGAATAAGAGGTTTTAGAAGATGCAATTTAGGGTTGATCTGGGCTAAAAGTTTATGTTAAGAAAAGCTGGATTTTCTGAGGTTTCTCCTAGAACCAGGATGAAATTCAGGATTTTCACGGGGCCAGTGAGATGCAGACAATGATGGTCACTGCTTCCCTATACAACTCTCCTATCAGCATTCTGCTGTCTCTAGCTGTGGCTCAAATCTCCCCTCCAGAAGGTGGATCAACTTTCTATCCCAGTGACCCTTTGAAAGGCCGAGGTCTGGTCATTTTGGCCTTGGTGGAGACCCCAAACAATCTGAGCTGTAGGAACAAAATGCTCCCCAGGTCCTGCCGTAGGAGGGAGACACAGCTGCAGAGAACGGTATACTCATCCTCTGTCTTCTCCCCACATGGGTGATGGGGCACTGTAGCCCAGCTGGGATGCACTCTTCTTTGTGAAGCCCTCCTCAGCTCCCTATGCAGTTAAACACCAGGGCAGTCTACCACCCCCTCCCCCACCACAGCTCACAGAGCTGGGCTGACTAGGCCCAGCGGCACAGGAGTGGCCCCAGGCTGGCCATTTGAAAACCCGGCTCTGAAGCCCAGATCCATGGCTTCTGTTTGTCTTACAGAGTTGTTAAGATGACAAATATAAGACTGCTTTTTAAACTACTAATGCATCTCACAAATACTGATTTTGCTGTTTTCATAATGTGTTTGTCTATTTTTAAGTTTTTGCAAAACACGTAGGACCTGAACACAATTTTGTTAAATGAATAAAAGCTATTTCATTTCCATGATTTGGTGTCTCACCATTAACCCTTGCCTTGCCTTGGGAACCACACATGGGAGGACACAGGGGCCCTGGCTCTCCAACTTTGTGTACAAAGAACTAACCAAGGAGTTAGATAAAATGTAAATTTTGGGCCCTACCCTCAAAGATTCTGATTCAGCAGGTCTGAAATGGAGACAAAAAGAAGTGATTTTGATACAGAACTTAGCAAGCGATCAATAGTTATCTGTGCAACCTGATACATAATTTCAATAGTTATCTGTGCAACCTGATACATGATTTCAGAAGATTACAGACAGTAATGTAAAAACACACAGAAGGAACCAGCTTCGTGGGAAGGTGATAAAAGAAGGAAACTGCGGTTTATTGAGCACCTACTTAGTGCCCCAGCCCAGGGGACGTGCATGAGTTTTAAAGAAGGGCTTTAAAACTGCTACGCCGACCCTGATCTGCTGTCGGAGCTGATCAGCCAGCTCCCAGGCGAGGCTGCCTTCCCCAGCTGTGCTTTGAGTGGCAGGGGCTGATGCATGCGGAGGAGAGTAGCAGGCACGGCATCCACACCAGGCTACAGAAGACTGAGGGACAGGCAAGAACCGGGAACGGCAGGCAGATGACTAGGCCATCCCAGAAGTTCCAGCTCTCAAGATACACACCTAGATCTGAGAGCTTCCCTCAGTATATAAACAAAACATCACATTAGAGAATAAAAGCTTATGAGTTACTTCAAGACAAACCTACGTATGTTCATGCACTCGTGCTCGTTCACACACACACACACATATATACACACGCACCCTGAAATAAAAATCATATCCTATTTTGAAAGAATCATCTGGAAATCTAATATTCAAAAAGAGATATTTGAAGATGTTAATTTGTTACTGGAAAACTGTAAAACATTTTAAAAATGATAAATAATAGTTTTTCTGTTGAGATTAAGATAGGGACTTCCCTTGGGGCCTTAATTATTTTACAGAATATTTATAAAAAAATTTAGCAAAAGAAAAAAGACATTTAAAGCTTAAATTAAGAATGATTGCCAGTTAAAAGTCAATTGGAAATTATGGAAAATTGTCTCGGAAATTATAAAAAGCCAAAGGGAATTGAATTTGATTTAGAAAACGTGTTATTAAATTTTTCAGGAATACAGTTCATTTCATTAAAATAAAGTAAACCAGTAAATATGACCTATAAGTGCCACGTTTTTATCAGGTTGTCTCCTTCACTGACCCACACTAAAGGAGGTAGCCATGGCACCGTTTCTTTCAAACAGATTTACCTTAACTCCTTTTTGCTTAGGGCAATATTTAAAATCATTGATCAGGCATGAATTGAACAATGGGACAGACAGGCTGGGCAGCACACTGACACAAACCTGCTTTGCAAGGCTTAGCCTGGATAACCCAGGAAAACCTCAGCCTGCAGAATTCCAAACTGCGCAGGTGGATGGGTGTGGCTCTTCTCAGTCAGAAGGGTGGCTGAGAACTATTTACCTTTGAGAACAAAGGATCAAACACAATCACACATTTTCACTCTGCCACGTGCACCAAATGACATTTGGATGAGCTGAAACCTAGGAGATATTGGTCATGGTCATGTTCAGATCATGCGTCCACATCTGGGACCATCTGCAGACTGTCCAGGGAAAGCACAAAAACTCTCCTTCTGGGCTGTTAACATCTGGGACAGGGGCCAGAAGGCATAAGAGTGGACTAGGGGTAATATTTAGCTTTTGTCATTATGCACTTTTGTATTGTTTGATTTATGACAAATGTTTCTTTTTAATTTGAGAGGAAACATAAAGAAACAAGTTGCAACCTATTGCTTTGAGCATAATGGCGCTAGATGTGATGAACCAGAGAGAATTTTTGCTACTAATCAATTAAATTACTGACGAGGAGGTGGTGAGGAGGTGGTGTTCTAGGAGGGGCAACTGGGGTGGCCTTGAGAGCTGGGCTGATATGGAGGTAATGAAAGGGCATGGGCTGGTGGGTGATGTGGTCTAGATGAGGAATGAGAAGGTATGGAAAGAGCAAACCTGGCCAAAAGCTGTGCAGTACCTGGTGAGATGAAAAAGGCAGTGGAAAGCACACCTTGGTGGCCTCGAGGGCCACTGAGGAGCCTGCAGTCCACCTGGTAGACAGTGGAAGCGGAGCTGGGGGCCGAGGCAGTGAGATGGGAGGGGAGAAGGAGAGGGACTGTGAAGTGGCAGTGCTTCTGAGAAGCCCGAGTGGGAACTGTGGGGCCACAGACGGTGATGGTAACGAGGAGTTTAGAGGGAAGGTGATGACAGATCCTGCCACAAAAACTGGCTCCGTGCCTGTGTGGCATGGCGGACTCCTTTTTTGGTTTCTAGCCTCGACTTTGCGCCAAACCCTATGCTCATTCTCTTTAGTAAGCTGTTAAAGAACATCAATATTCTGGCTGACACAGTAGCCAGAACAATCAAGGACACGAAATGAGTTAGGAAGATGGTCAAATAATTCACAGATGCCACATGAACTTACAGGCAGTCAGGAAGCCATGGCGGGCAGCAGAGGCTATAGGAAGGCCGGTGCTTGAAGAGGGAGACTCTTGAATTCTCACACAGCTATCGGACTGACCAGCACTATGCACTCAGGAAGGAGCTGGTGAGGCTGAAA